AGTTGTTCCTATCAGTTTCCTCCTTTAGATGAATCATTTTTATTTTTTTTATTTTTTATTTTTAATTAAATCTTTATTGTTCAGATTATTACATTTGTTCCTCTTTTTTTCCCCCATAACTCCCCTCCTTCCAGCTCCCACCCCACCCTCCGCCCTCACTCCCCACCCACTGTCCTCATCCATAGGTGCACGATTTTTGTCCAGTCTCTTCCCGCATCTCCCACACCCCTTTTCCCCCCAAGAATAGTCAGTCCATTCCCTTTCTATGTCCCTGATTCTATTATAATCACCAGTTCATTCTGTACATCAGATTATTTATTCACTTGATTCTTAGATTCACTTGTTGATAGATGCATATTTGTTGTTCATAATTTGTATCTTTACCTTTTTCTTCTTCTTCCTCTTCTTAAAGGATACCTTTCAGCATTTCATATAATACTGGTTTGGTGGTGATGAACTCCTTTAGCTTTTCCTTATCTGTGAAGCTCTTTATCTGACCTTCAATTCTGAATGATAGCTTTGCTGGATAAAGTAATCTTGGTTGTAGGTTCTTGCTATTCATCACTTTGAATATTTCTTGCCACTCCCTTCTGGCCTGCAAAGTTTCTGTTGAGAAATCAGCTGACAGTCGTATGGGTACTCCCTTGTAGGTAACTGATTTTCTTTCTCTTGCTGCTTTTAGGATTCTCTCTTTGTCTTTTGCTCTTGGCATTTTAATGATGATGTGTCTTGGTGTGGTCCTCTTTGGATTCCTTTTGTTTGGGGTTCTCTGCGCTTCCTGGACCTGTAAGTCTATTTCTTTCACCAGGTGGGGGAAGTTTTCTGTCATTATTTCTTCAAATAGGTTTTGAATATCTTGCTGTCTCTCATCTTCTGGCACCCCTATAATTCTGATGTTGGTGCGTTTGAAGCTGTCCCAGAGGCTCCTTACACTATCTTCGTATTTTCGGGTTCTTTTTTCATTTTGCTTTTCCGGTTGGGTGTTTCTCGGTTCTTCGCATTTCAAATCTTTGACTTGATTCTTGCGCTCCTCTGGTCTGCTGTTGGGAGTCTGTATAATATTCTTTATTTCAGTCAGTGTATGCTTACTTTCTAGTTGGTCCTTTATCACACCATCGAGGGTCTCATTAGATTTCCTGTACATCTCATCAAGTTTATCGACAGACTCTAGAAGCCTCTTGAGAGACCTCAAAAGTGTGGTTCTGAACTCAATATCCTCCCTTGATAGTTTTGTCCTGTTTCTTTGTCTCCGCACTTTTTACGCTTTCTTGGTGCACCCCCTAGTGGTCTTTGTGCACAGTCTTGTTGTAGTTAAGCCTTGATTGTTGTAGTTAATACTAGAGGGATTTTACCTCCAGGCCGACTGGCTGTGAGAATCAGCTGTGTTTGCAGTGGGAGAACTTCTGTCCTCTAGGGAGGTGCTAATCTAGCCTTTGCCTGAGGCTATCCCGCAAATGCCTCTGTGCAGGGCTTGGGCAGGGCGGGTCCCACGGGATCAACAGGGCAGAGGAGGGAGCAGTTATGGTTGCTCTCAGTCCGTCCCCAGGGGCTCTGCCTCTCTGTCCCAGCAACCGCTGCAAACCTTGGAGGGACCGAAGCCAGACAGTCCCGCTTCTCCCGTTTGAGTCTGGGTCCCTAGAGACTCGCCCGGATCTGGAGCTCTGAGTCTGAGGCTCCCTCCGGATTGAAACAGACAACCACGCCCTCAGCCACCAGCCCGCGCTGCGTGCACTCCGCACCTTAGTATTTTACTTCAGCACTGCGCCTCCTCTGATTCTTGGTTCCTCCTAGTTGTAGAACTTCCACTCAGCCAGCCTTCCTGTGGTCCTGGATGATGTCCGTTCTGTCTTTTAGTTGTATTTTTGAAGTGGTTGTTCGAGGCAGCAAACTCCGGCGTTAACCTATGCCGCCATCTTGGTTTCTAGAAATTCTTGATCTGAATCATTTTTAAAGTTCTGATTTGATTCTTTAAAAAAATACTTTTATTGATTTCAGAGAGAGGAAGGGAGAGGGAGAGAGATAAAAACATCAATGATGAGAGAGAATCATGGATTGGCTGCCTCCTGTACTCCCCCTACTGGGAATTGAGCCCACAACCCTGGGCATATGCCCTGATGGGGAACAGAACTGTAACCTCCTGATCCGTAGTTCGATGCTCAACCACTGAGCCACACTGGCTGGGCTGATTCTTTTTCTTTCCCATCAGGGAATCTTGCTCAGTTTACCCTCTGATTCAAGTTGGGCTCCCCCAGAAGGAGATCCTGAGATAAGGATTTTGTGCAAGTAATTAATCTCTGTGGGGAGGGAATCCCAGGCAGTGCCTTCCAGGGAGGGGGGCACTGAGACAGGGAAGGGGAGGGAGCCGGGACAGGTGCAGCGCCCGGGCTCCTCCCCTCTGGGACCCCTGAGAGGCGCTGTAGAACATGCCTCAGGGTTGCACCTGAAGGCAAGGACGCTGGAGAGTTAGTCCCCATCATCAGTCAGTCAGTCAAAGGTTGAGGGCTGATCCATGGGGCCAATACACTCAGCAGCCAGAAGGCCCCTCACAGAGAGCTGCGGATATTTGCAGCCGAGAGCTCTGGGTGAACAGAGAAAAATGAGAGCTGAACACACCGCTGGTATCTGCAGGGATCCTTCACACAGAGTATTTTTTACTTGAAGTCATACACAGTAATGAAAGCGTCTCCCTCCTCCCCCGAGACCATAAAGAGAAGGTGGGATTTGAGAAGGAAAGGAGCGTATCACCAGAGGGGAGGGTGGCAGGGGCCTGGGATTTTTATTAAATGTACCTAGAGTTTTTAGCTAATATATTTTAACGGCGAGCATATTAAAAACCAGGGTCTAGAATTTATAGCGGCTGTAAGGAAAGTGAAAAATAACAAGGCCCTGGGGGCTGACTGGGTTTAGTAAGTGCCACCAGCAGGAGGAAGGGCCATAAAACCTTATCACGGAATATGGGAGGCATTAGCCACATGGTTAAGTCAGGAGAATTTCCTCACAAACGATGCCATGCAGAGCCCATTTAATAAAGGATGTGGAATCTGGATGGCTTCTTAGTTTAGGAATGTTACTCAAAGTCTTAAAAACCAGCAAATGCATTTTACGTGAAGCACATGCATCCAAGCAGGCTTGGTTGATTCTTTCCCAACAGGGAAAACAGCAAACGGGTTCTTTTCATTCCGTTTTCCATGTTTGTAACACTTGCTGTCCTTGGAGTCTCTCTTCACGTCGGCTCCTTGTCCCCCATCCTAGTACTGGCTGCTTTTTAGAGCGATTTTTGGATCTGTGGAGTAGGCTAATTCTTCAAGAAAATGTATTGGTGTTGAGCTGCGGTCACAGTGCCTGAGTTATCGAGTGTTTTGGTGATGCATTGGCCACACATCTATAAAGAAAATATCTCTGCTTGAGAAGGTGTATATAGATTCTCTTACTCAGCTGACAGTTCCCATCACAAAGAACATTATAAAATCAGAGGGAGGCATGGTGTTGGTAGGCTTGTGTTACTTTACCTTTAAACCACACGTTGCTTGGTTTTCCTGTTTCCAAATCATCTTCTTAGCAGACCGCCATCCACTCCGGCAGTTTAATTCATTATTACACAAAGTCCAAGAGAGTGAAACTTTAACCTCTGCTTCTAACCACTTCGCGTTGGTTTTATCTGTAATGAACTTAGTGAAAGGCATCTGATGACAGATTCTTTCTTATGCTCCAATGACCTAACTTCGGAGGTCCTCCAAGGGGTTTAATTTAACCACTTGCTACTGCAAAGTGTCATGTGGTAGAGCAGGAATATAAACTGAGAATCCTAGGAGTTTTAGCAAGGAATCCCCAAGAGCATTCCCGGAGGAGCCCACCTGGGGAGTGTTGGTAGAGGCTCGACTGGTGTGGTTAAGCCTGGGGTACACCCTGGTCAGAAGAATACAGTGCCAGAACCAACACGTGCTGTCAGAGTAATTTAAATACCTCACATCTCTCAAAGGCAATGCTTTTAAAGTGCCTCCTCCCACTTCTCTCCCACCCACCGGGCATGTTCTGCAGGTGTTTCTGGGCCCTTGGTTTTCAAATGTGTCACCTAGAAAACTCCCCTAGCAGCAGCCTCCTATTTCCTATGCTCTTCTCCCCTCTATACACCTGATACCTCCCAGAAAAACCCTAAATGAGCCGGTCTGGCACAAGTGGGAGCTTCTTGGAAGGGGGAAGAGAGAAAGACAGAGTATGCAAAGCTAGAACCCTTCATAGGTCAGAAGAATGGGAAAGCAAGGGATCCTTAGAAAATAATCTTTGCATTTAACTGCACAAATACGAGCACAGGAAAATATTTTATCAGATGGCACCAAGGGGTACTTGGTTTTATTTATTTATTTTCTTAATCCTCACCTGAGGTTACACTTATTGATTTTAGAGAGAGGGAAAGGAAGAGAGAGAGAGAGAGAAACATCGATGTGAGAGAGAACATTGATTGTCTGTCTTCTGTACCTGCCCTGCCTGGGGATTGATATAACCTGCAACCTTGGTATGTAGCCTGACGGGGAACAGACCCATAACCTAGGCGTATGGGACGATGCTCCAAACAACTGAGCCACACCGGCCAGGGCCAGAGGGCCACTTTATTAAGAGCAGGCATGGTTGTCCTTCATGACAGCCACCCTGAGTTAGAGAGATGCATCCCAGAGTCCCACCCTCCAGGTGACTCTTCCACCAGAAATCCTTCCTGAACCCACTTATATTTAAAATTGTGCCACTCATGAGTTCCACAAGTTAAAGATGGTTTGAGAATTCATATTTTTGGTTAATAATGCTAAATGCTGTCTACGCCTTTCATGATTTCAAAGGCTTCAATCACTCTAACCCTCTGTTCTTTTTCAGTGTCTCCTGTCTGAGAGAAGCCTCCGTTCATTTCAGCATTTTGGTTGGCTTCCCTGGACCTCCTCCAGCTCAGCTATGTTTTCTTTGCGATACAGCTGTCAGAATTAGTCACAGTATTCCAGGTGTGTGAGTCAGCTTTGCAGGAGGAACAGCAGACTTTATGATTTACTTTTAGCATCTTTTTTGTTTTGTTTTCCTAATTACCTAGTATTATTTTTGCTGTTACAGTTTTCCAAGGGACAAATGTCTTTAAAAAAACACACTGTAATGGTTTCTACCACATTTTCTTTGGCTGTAACTGAAGCTGTAACTATCCTTCTGGAAATATGGTATGAACTCCTTGTTGCACCTGCCTAGCCTGTACCCACATGAAAGATGACTTGCTATTTTTCTCCATACCCTGGAGATTATAATCAGGGTTGGGGATCATAATCAGGAACACCCTGATGGAAATTCTAAGATAAGGTATAAGCATGGGTAACATAATGGGTGGGAGAAGGTACCCTTTGAGAGGAAGACAAAACCACTTGAAGGATGAGGAACCAAATCAAAGTAAAATTTGATTTCCAAAAGATCTTTAACGAAAGCTCTTTAACGCCATACATAAGTTTCGTATTATGTGGTAGAACATTTTATTGGGAAGAGATAACTGACTAAACTTTATTTACAAGTGAGTGAGTTTGTCCTGACTTATTTTGACTTAAGGGAGTTTCACACAATGAAAGCTTGAGTTTGCTCACCTAGCAGACAGCAGTGGGTTTTAGAGGTGGGGGGGGGGACTCCAGGAGTTCCTGAGATAAAGTCATGGGGTCTGTGAAGTCAAAACTCTTTTCATAATAGTGGCAAGATACTATTTACCTTTTTGTTTACATTCTTCATGAGTGTTCAGAATTGGAAATGTTCATTGCAGCTAACCTTTGACGACTACCACTTTTTGAGTTTTGGTGTAGTACCAAAGAGGAATATCCATAAATAACTAGAAAGATTATTAAAATACTCCTCCCACTCTTAATTAAATATCTGAATTTTCTTTGCATATTTTTAACCAAAGCAGCAGATTGAATATATTGAATGCAGTAGCAGATAGAAGAGCCCTCTTGTTTTCTGTTAAGCCATACAATTGAGATTTGCAAAAATATAAAACGATGTTACTCTTCTCATAAACTATTTTTGGAAAATATAGTTCTTTTTCATAAAAATATTATTTATGTTAACATATGATGGGTTTATTATTGTTATTTAAAAATGAATAAATAAGCATAAAAAATTTCTTAACTTAAATTTCTAGTAAGAAATAGCAATTGATGTAATTCATATAAACAAAAGCACTTTGGGATGCTCCATAATTATTGAGAGTGTAAAGGGATGCAGAAGCCAAGAAGTTTGGGGATGGTTGGATTTTGGAGAATTCAAATATCATTTCCACATTCTTTGTGCACATGATTATTTACTTCTTCAAAGGTCCTGTTATATTCTTTCAGTCTCTAGGGCATTTATATTTATCTTAAAGCATAAAGCAGTTTCCTATTGGCAGAGAGTCCCAAGGTAGAATAGAGGACATACAACAGCAAGAAAATACAGTAGTGATAGTATGATATGGAGAATCATGTCAATTTTACTTATTTTTGTGGTTCAGAGTGAGTACCTAAAATTCAGTATTTAGCTTCCAAATAATAACTTTGTAAACTGGGGTTATTATTTTGAAAATCCAGGCTTTCTTTTTCTGTGGTGGTTGTGACCATGAAGAGGGAAAAAAAAATAAGTGTAAAGTCTGGGAAAGTCATCTAGTTCTTAAAAAGTTTAGGAAATTCTGTGCTTTCAAAGATGGGTAAGAGAGAAGCCTTCAAATTTTAGAGAGAATTGAACACTACAAGAAAGGAAAGTTTATGAAACCAGCTACATTATCCCGCTCCCAAGATGAGTAAAGTTGCCGGCCATGGCGCCATCTCATATCTTACGAGCACTCCTCCTCCAGATGCATGTGAGATAGGACACGACAACATTTGATTGTGATCTAGCAGGGGCCAGCAGTTTCTCAGAAAATACAGCCGGGTCCTGTGGATTCTTGAGATGATCATTCAAGTGGAAAACAAATTGCGCAACAGATTAAGTGCTATTGTAGTTGCAACCAACTACTTTTGAATGCTCAAAACAAAACAAAAACCAAACCAAAACAAAACAAGCCCATACCAAGGAGCTCTTCTAGATGGAAACAGATGGAATTTAGAGACAGACTTGAGCCTTCCCATGAGAAGTTAGATTTACTGCAAAGTAAAGCAACGAGGCTACGAGTCTGCCCACAGGGAATGAAGCGCTGACAGCTGGTGTGGTGAGCAGAGTAATGGCCTCCAAGCATGTCTGTGTCCTCATCCCAGGACCTGAGGATACGTTACCTTTCATGGCAAAAGGACTTTGCAGATGTGATAGGAAGGACTTTGAGATAAGGACATGTTCTTGGATGATCCAAGTGGACCCAGCTTAATCACAAAGGTTCCTAGAAGCAGAGAACCTTTCCTGGCTGTAGTCAGAGAAAGGGAGACGTGACTAAGAAGCATGGTTAGAGATGCAACGTTGCTGGCTTTGGAGGTGGAGGGAAGTACCATGAGTCATGGGATGTGGGTGTCCTTTAGAACCCAGAAAAGGCAAGGGAATGGATTTATTCCTAGAGCCTCTGGAAAGGAAGGAGACCCTGTTGGACTTCTAATTGAAGAAGTGCAAGTTAATAAATTTGGGCTGCTTTATACTACTAAATTTACGGTAATTTGTTATGGCAGAAAGTGAATACAGCTGGATTGAAATTGATAACCCAATGCCCAGCCCTTCAATTTCATTTCCAGTGCACTGATTTGGGGTGTATGCTATCTAAATCAGTTGACCAAATAATAAGTTAGGTGGTCAGTGGGGAACATGTTGCTTTTCTATTTCTTTCGTGAGGACCCCATTAGAACCTATTTCTAAGTCTTTGGGCTCAATAGTGAATGAGGTAGGAAGGCAGTTTCCTGGGGAAATCATTCCAAAATCTTGCCTCTTCTTTTCGTGGACAAGAGGAAGAGTAGTAGTGAAGGTTTAATAATTACTTAAATCAACAGTAGAGTTTATTGTGTTTAAGGTACATAGATGTATAAATTTTAGTTTACAGAAGAGAGTGAGTCCAAAGAAATGTTAACATTTTTTTGTTGTTAATTTTTAAAGCCTTGGCCTAATACTATGACAGTGATACGGGAAAGGTCAAGGTGGGACATGAAAAAATTAAAAAAAAACCCCACAAAACAACACACCCCAAATTTGCTAAGCTGCTTGGAGTGAGAAGAGCACTTTCTGTCTCTTCCCCCTTACGCAATGCTATTGACTTCGGGCCAGAGGTGCCTGGAGGAAAGACCAGAATGTACGAACGATAGCAGCCGTGGCAAGGGAACAAGGCAGGGACTCTGGATGTAAAATTAGAAGTGCCAGAGCGGTTAGAAGCCAGCCAGGAAGTGTGCCAAGCTATGAAAACATCAACGCCTGCTGCCTTTACATGCTTCCTTCCCCTGGTATGGGGACCCGACAATCTCAGTTACGTTTACATTCGGCATTTTTATTTGGAAACTTCGTACACGTTGTCACTGATTTTTATTTAAAGCCAGTCATTTGTGTTAAATGATTGGCTTTAATTCCTGAAGAGTAATTTTAGTACATCTTAGGGCCAACTGTTTTCCTAGGAGGTGACAGCTGGAAGTTGGGGGAGGGGCAGGGAATCAGCTTGCCTGAAAGAATTTGATTTTTAGACAACTTTCCCCCCACTGTGTCCATTCAAAGCCTACCTACACTTCATAAGCCTAGCAGAAAGGGACTACCTATTTGCCCAAACCTCCTAGAACATGCTGAACATCGCGGTAAAAAGAACATAACATCTAGTAAAATTGCCAAGCAAGAAGTTTAGAGCTACCACCGTAATCACTTGTGTCTTACCCAGAGGGTGCCCCAGGTCCAATATAAATTTCTAACAGGAGACGAGGAAAGCAAACTTTTAACCAGCTGCACGTTTTATTCGAAGTCTCAGGGCACTTAGAAAATGCCTCATGAGCATAAGGAGGTTTAATTGCAAAAGCTATGCATTTGGAGAGTGAAAAGCAATCAGAATGGGAAGGAAACGAGTTTTCTATGTGGTCTGAATCTTACCCCCCAGCTACGTTTAGCTTATAGAAAGCCAGCATTTGTAACGATTCCTGGCTTCCTCCTACTGGTCTAGTAAGATTGAGTTCATTTAGTTAATTTCCCAAGGCTCCAGAAGTTTCCATGAATTTCATCTCACAACTAATGTTTGTAGGTCTTATTTCTCCCGTCCCTTAAAGTCCCAAATAATACTTTAGACCAGTGATGGCGAACCTATGACATGCGTGTCAGAGGTGACACGCGAACTCATTTTTTTGGTTGATTTTTCTTTGTTAAATGGCATTTAAATATTATAAGATAAATATCAAAAATATAAGTCTTTGTTTTACTATGGTTGCAAATGTCACATGGCACCAGAGTTAAGTTAGGGTTTTTCAAAATGCTGACACGCCGAGCTCAAAAGGTTCGCCATCACTGCTTTAGACAGTATTTTAACTGTAAAGTGACATTGGCAGACATTGTGTCATAGCTACATGCTACCCATCGCATTAACCATGATCAAATAAACTTCCAACCAATGAACACAGGGTACAATGCTGGTGTTCTGACCTCAGAGAATAATGTCTAAAATATCAAGAGAAGTATGGAAAAATGTTTCACCTCACTACATATAATGTTATTTCACTGTGACTTTTTTCTGTAACTAACGCTGAATCAGAGCATCCAATAAATGTATACAGGGTGAATGTACTTCTATAGAAACCCTGTTCTTTCCTGGGCCAGAGAATGCTGATAAAATGCGGGGGGTGGGGAACGTAAGAAGTGAGGTGAGGTGGGAGCCGCCACAGGGAAGTGCTGACTTAGCTTGGATCCATGGAGAGATCGCTGGAACAGGAGTCAGGGGGCCTGGGTTTGGCCTTTCTTTACCTCAGCGAAAGCATGAGCAGAGTAGAGTAGTCCCCCCAGTGGATGCCTGAGACGGTGGATAGTACCAAACCCTATGTATACTATGATTTATCCTATGCATACATACCTAAATAAAGTTTAATTTATAATTTAGACACAGTAAGAGAGGAACAACAATAATAGATAAGAAAACAGAACAGTTATAACAACATACTGTAGTAAGAGTTATGTGAATGTGGTCTAATTTTCTCTCAAAATATCTTATTGGACTGTACTCACGTTTTCAGTTAAATGAAGTACATTACGGCTTCTCTTTGGCATATCCCAATTGCCAGCATCTCCACTCTTGCGCGTTGAGGCCACTCACCATTAGGTAAAATAAGAGTTACTTGCACAGAGGCACTGTGATACTGTGACAGTTTATCTGACAACCGAGGGTACTGAGTGACTCACAGGTGGGGAGCCTACAGCATGGCGGTGCTGGACAAAGCAATGATTCACCCCCGGGGCGGGATGGAGAGAGCCTGCCTGAGATTTCATCACAATTTAAAACTTACGAATTGTTTATACCTGGAACTTTCCATTTAATATTTTTTGGGCCACAGTTGACTATGAATAACTGGAACCTTGGAAAGTGACACTGTGGGTAAGGTGTGTGTGTGTGTGTGTGTGTGTGTGTGTGTGTGTGTGTGTGTAATATTGTATTTAATAATTCCTCATGTGAGTTTCTTCTTCTGAATCATGGTGTTAATAACACCTACCCTCGGCATTATTGTAAAGACTATATTAGGAAGAGGAAGCAAGACATCCCATAGGATACCTGGCACACAGATGCTTAATGTGGGGAGATTTATTCTCTCCTGAGCCTTAATTTAGAAAACTAGGATAGTCTAGTACCCATCTGATATCATACATAGTTATTACAATACTAGAGTCTTGGTGCATGAAATTCATGCATGGGGGAGGAGGGGTCTCTCAGCCCGGCTTGCACCCTCCCCCAATCTGGGATTCCTCAGGGGATGACCGGCAGTTGGACATCCCTCTCACAATCCTGGACTGCTGGCTCCTAACCGCTCACCTGCCTGCTTGATCGCCCCTAACTACTCACCTGCCTGACTGATTGCCCCTAAATGCCTCTGCCTTGCCCCAGCCACCACAGCTTCATCAGGAAGGATTTCCAGAATGACATCAGGAAGGTCGTTCAGCTGTCTGGTCTAATTAGCACATTACGCTTTTATTATTATAGACTAGTGGCCCGGTGCATGAAATTTGTGCATGGCGGGGGGCGGGTCCCTCAGCCCGGCCTGCACCCTCTCCAATCTGGGACCTCGGGGGATGTCCGACTGCCAGTTTAGGCCCAATCCCTAAACTGGCAGTCTTACATCCCTCTCGCAATCTGGGACTGCTGACTCCTGCCTGCCTGCCTGATCACCCCTAACCACTCTGCCTGCTGGCCTGCTCACCCCCACTGCCCCCCCTGCTGGCCTGCTTGCCCCAATTTCCCCCCCCCCAGGCTGCTCCCCCCCAACCTTGCCAATGCGCCTGGTTGGCTCTAGTGAGCTGGGATTGGGAGCTTATTTCCCACGAGTGCGCTCAAGCGCGACGGTTCAATAA